TGGATGTGTGCTGTGTTTATGATGCAATATATCTTTCAGGAATGGGTGGAATTTGATGAGAAGTGCCTACTTTTCAATAAGGAGTTAGAGGCACTAGCTTCTATGTTGCCTTCTGTCAATTTGGTGGAAGAAACAGAAGAAAGATTAATGGAAAGGATTGCACTTCTAGAGGTATTTATGGATTTGTCTCTCTGACTGGTTTTCTTTGTGGATCTGGCCAAAAAATCAGTTAGAATATGAGAACAGGATTTGCAGGGTACTGCTTCCTTTGTCTCCTTACCTGTGTGTGGATGCAAGCTGAAAACTGATCTCTAAAACTAGGAGGGGATTGGGCTGCTAACTTCAGCAAAGGGCTGCAAGTTCGTTTAAGTCGAAGTAATGACTCTATCTGCTTCAGAACTCAGTCTTCAGATGAAAGTATCTGGGATAAGATAGATGGTGTGTAGGCTTCATGGATCCCAAGGACAACAGGAAGCCTTGCAGTGAACAAAGAGCCACTCGTCTGTAATTCAGGAATGATTTTCATGCCGTGATGTAAAACCTGTGAAAGAGGAGAATCAACCTAGTGCTTTCAAATATCTGAAAATAACAAATATTTGGATGCCTATTGCAACTCTGGTGACAGCTGCATCTCTGATGACAGAGTTGCATCTCTGTTAGGAGCCTCAGCTTCAGCTGGAAATGTTTTACCTGTGTTGTGAACACATTTAAATAGAAGAATATGAAAGCAGCCTTGTTGTTCTGTAAAATTAAATAGTATTCAACAGACTTTGTGATGTATCTTCAGAGGGTGCTCTGCATTCCTCACAGGTTTGACCTTTCTCAGTCTTCAGAGGGCACACTGCATTAGAAATTTTTGAAATAGTGGATATTTGGGTCTATATTGAATCCAGTTTGATATTTAGATTCATAGACAATGAAGGCAAAAAGGTCTATAGTGATTTAATCCAGTTGACTGTATGAAAGAGGTCATTGGACATTCCCAGAAAATTCTAAGCTGTAGTGAAGCTTTTGTAATAAAACAACTGTAGATATGTGCAGTCATAGTGGCCCTCTGGTGCTTTTGATACGTGTGGCACTGAGACAAAACATGCAGTATTTGCATAGCCACTGAGTGGGATGTTGCCTGATTTTCTTTTGCCTTTTAAGTGCTTAACTAGCTCTTCACTCTCATCTTTATTTGTCCTTAAAGACATCAGAAACAAAGTAGTAAAGCTTAGAAGGTGCTTTTGGGGGAGTCTCAGCACTGGAGCGTGGCAGTTGCAAGGACAGAGCAGAATAAGTTTTCTGGGGCTTAATTCCTGTGAGAGAGACATCCCTGTTCATAATATTGTTCATGCCTGGAGAGAAGTGAGGTGCCTGCACATCACACAGTTGCTACGTTCTGTCTTCTCCCTGGGACTAATCTGCTTCCTTGTTTGTTTGTTTTCCTTTTTAACTCGGTTTTTGACCTTCTAGTCAAGTGTAGTAATGCTAAAATGATGCTTTGTTTTTATTCAGCTGTCTAAGCAAACCAGACTACTCCTATGTCTTTTACTTAATGACTAATCTGTTCACTTCTAATTCCTCCCTGCTGCCATTATTCAAGAATTATCCCAACAATTTCCTTCAAAACACTGGGAACGTTTTTTTAAATAGGGTAGAGCCTACGACCCTCTGAGAACAGGAGGGCAATATCTTTCTGCTGGGAACAGTCAGATGTTTGGACAATGCAGCCACATCTGGTAGTGTTTGCCCATTGCCTGAGGTTTAGGCGTGTCAGAAGAGCCTATCAAAGCACAACAAAGTCATTGTGGTAATATATGAAACTGTGCTGGGATCCATTGTGATCTGTCCAGAGGAAACAAAGAAACCCAACCACCTATGTCCCTTTTGCATGTAATGAATTTCAGATTGCGTTCATTTGGAAAACAGAATACATGACAGAAGAAATGTGAGATTCAGAAGGTAGAACAAATGATGAGTGTTTTGCTAGCTGTGTTTCTAGTTTTTAACATATTATTGTTTTGCAAACTTCCCATATTCTGACAGCAAATCAAGATCAGTGTTGATGACAAGCATGCCAGGCTGTACCAGATGGTGAAAGAAGGAAAGAAATTGCTGGCTGCTGTGAGCTGTCCAGAAATCAGAAGCCAGATTGGGAAGCTGGAAGAGCAGTGGTTGTCTTTAACCAAAAAGGTTGGCCCTGAACTACACCGACTTCAAACGTTACTGAAACTCTTGGTCAGGTGGGTTTAACACAAAAGCCAATTTGAAGTATCAGCTAGACATTATCTCCTGCCTGTCTCTAGGTGATAGCTGTAGCCATGCTTCAGCAGGGTTGTGTAGCAGCTAGGGTGCCAGAACAGCACGTGCCTCCTCACAGAGAGCAGGACAGCTTGGAGAGTGAGAAATGTATCCTAGCCTCAGCTAGATGGATGCTTCTGTGTTTTGTTTCCTCCTTGTAGCTACAACAGAGACTCACAGGAATTGATGAAATGGTTAGATTCTGCTCAGCAGAGAATGAGTTTTTGGAAGGAGCAGTCTCTCAACGTGTCACAAGATCTTCCCACCATGAGGGACAACATCAACAGCTTATTAGTAAGTAATTTCTTCTGCCAGGCTTAGATAAGACATTGTGACTGGTTACACTTCTGAGAGGTTTTTGTATTTGCCATGCCCACATAATACAGCACAAATGGTTAGATTCTGCTCAGCAGAGAATGAGTTTTTGGAAGGAGCAGTCTCTCAACGTGTCACAAGATCTTCCCACCATGAGGGACAACATCAACAGCTTATTAGTAAGTAATTTCTTCTGCCAGGCTTAGATAAGACATTGTGACTGGTTACACTTCTGAGAGGTTTTTGTATTTGCCATGCCCACATAATACAGCACTGAATGGCTCCCCAAAGCCATTCTCCGGGAATCGTGAGGGTGGGAGGCCACCAAACACCTTCCTTCAGATTGTGAGTCTGGCCAGAGAGCATAAATCAGAATGAAATCCTTTCATAATCAGCTCCCAACTGCAACAGATCACAGCCCAGCTGGGATCTCCTGTGCCCCTACTGCCTAACAGCATGGCTTCTGCCTACTGGTGCCGGACACAGCAGTTCTGCCAAGCTGATGGGCCACTGAATGACTGAACCTGGAGTGTGGGCTCAGGGCACAGGGGTGAAGGGGGTCGGACAAAGTCAGGAAAGAGAAACATGCTGAATGGTGTTTCATGTAATTGCTTGCCCCTCCTTGCTGTGCTCCCCTTGGGTGACTAGCCAGGAAGTTCAGCCCCAATGTGAGGAGTCTTGTACAGTGGAAAAGCAAAGCATTGTGAAGGATCAACCGGTAGGTGTGAGCTGGCCAGAGGCTGAGGACTGGGGTTGCTCCCTGGACTTGCATGTAAAGTGGGGATCCGAATATTTCCATCCCTGTGGCATTCAGCACTGTAGCAGCCTGGGCAGAAAAAGGCTTTACCTGCTGCCAGAATATGTTGAGTTTAGGTTTTCTGGACTTTGTAAGCTTGCCAAAGTCTGTTTGTTGAAGCCTTTCATCTTGTGACTGAAAACATGGTTTGTCTTCTTCATTTAAATAGATACATAAATACTTACACTCTTTTAAATTTCTCCTGTGCACCTCAGACATTCTCTAAGGAAGTTGATGAAAAATCTTCCCTGAAGTCATCAGTGGTGAGCACTGCCAACCAGCTCTTCCACGTGAAGCAAGCTGATACTGCAGCATTTAGGTCATCTTTGGCAAAGTTTGAGCAAAAATGGGGAGAGCTGGTTACACAGCTACCAGCCATCCAAGAGAAGCTTCACCAGGTGAGAAGAAACTCTGCTGCCACCTCTCAGTTCAAGCTAAATAATTACATCGACACGTTTCTGCTGGGATGCAGTTGGCTGCTCCCCCAAAGAACCTGCTTCCAAATCAGCTGTCTTGCTTCCAGAATATCCCCAATATTGTATTGCAGTTAAACATTGCAGGGTTGTTCCTAGCCTGTTTTGCCTATATCTGTTATCTTTACGGTTTCACATGAAAGTCTGTTGTAATTAAAAAGAATTTTATTTCAGATTTCTGAATTTTCAGGCTTTTCTGAAGTCATTTACCCCTGTGGAGCACAGGGCTCACTCTCAAGTTCTTACCGCAGTAATGCAATTATAGAGCCTGAGCTTTTCTAAAAATAGAAATGTAATTTTCCTTGACATTTCTAACAAAGTACAGAGGATTCATTATATGCTTTACCCTAGCTTCAGATGGAAAAGCTTTCATCACGGGAAGCTATTGCTGAACTAATGACCTGGCTGGACCATGTGGAACAACAGCAGGGACATGAGGAACCAGTAAATTCACAGTGCAGTGCTGCCCAAGTCAGGAGCCTCCTTCAGAAGTACAAGGTAAATGGGAAGCTGTAAGTCCAGGCCTTCTGCAAGGTATTTGGCTGTAAAAAGGATGAAAACCACCTACAGGCACTGTCACAGCCTTCCCCTTGCTCTCAAGAGGGTTCCTTATTCTCAGAGGTTTCTTAATATATTCCTTTATAAAACCTTTTGCTTCCATGACACACAAAACACTGCCTGTCCTGCAGTACAACTACTGCCTGCTGTGCTTAATCTACTTTTCCTCATGCTGTCCCATCTGTCTCACTTGTTCTCTGTCTCTTACATTTAGATTACTATGTGGTGAGCAGAAAAGCATTGCTTACTGAGGAAGATAGACTCTGTATTTGTGCTGTGTTCCAGTGTCGTTCTGACAAGGAATACTTCATAATGGAGCTCCATAAACCCGGATCCATTTAACTAAAGAACAGAGGGTTTGAATATTATGTTTCGTCAAAATAATTAACCTGCTAGGAAAGAAGGACAAGATGAATGTCCCTGCAGAGAGAGAGGCTGCAGCAGATGCCAAAGCACCAGTGGCAGAGGCTGATTGTCCCAGCCACAGGAAGGATCCAAGCTGTGTACCTCCACAGATGCCAGGGAGCCTCAGGGCATGAATCCCTACAGAGCCATGGCTTGCTGTGCCCTCACAGAGCTACCCAGCACTGCCCAGGGCTCAGACAGGCTGAGTCCTGTCGTCAGCTGCGATTCACAGGCTCTTGGGGATTTCGCATAAGGCAGTGCCAACATAAACATTTCTTTCTCAGTGCCTTGGTGTAACAGATATGTCGCATTTTGGTCTCTTATCAGTTGGATTTGGCAGTTGGAAAATGTAGGTGAGGTGCTGGTTTTAACCCTTTTGATGTTTAGAGATCAGTTTGTAGTTGGGTTTTCTGCACTTGCAAGCAACATGGGGATCTGTGTGTGGAGAAGAAAGCTGGGATGAGGGTCACAAATTCCTACAGGGAAGCAGCTATCAGTTCAGTACACAGTGTGATGGTATTGTCCAATGGCTAAAGTACAGGATTCTGGTACCCCTGGGTTTTATTCCCTGCTCCAGCACTAGCTTGTTCTTACCTTGAACTACCCATGTAATGAGAGAGATTTTCTGCAAAGGTTTCAGTAGATACATACAGAATGGTAAAAAGTGAGAATTACTCCTACAGCGTGGTCTCTTGCAGAAAAAGACTTGAGGTCATGCTTCAGTCTAAGCTATGATTGTCCCATAGCTACACCCTGAAGTGTCATTGGAACTGATCAGATTAAAACTACCAAAGTAATTGCTTTACTCTTTTTTTTTTCTTATTTCCCTCCAGGAATACATGATGGAAATGAACTTTAAGCAGTGGATGGTAGATTTTGTTAACCAGTCACTACTGCAGATGAGCACTTGTGACGTGGAAAGCAAGCGGTATGAGAGGACAGAGTTCGCCGAGCATCTGGGCGAGATGAACCTGCGGTGGCACAGGCTGCAGGCATCCCTGAGCAGAAAGGTTAGACTGAGTTCTCATGGCTCTCTCTTAACCCTGATCCTACCTGTGCCCCTGCTCTGTATTGTGCAAGCAGCCTCTCTTCCTGAGTCTGAAAGCACTGCTGAGCAGGGTGAGACTCTCTGCGCTCTGCTGTCTGTCCACCTGCTGTCTCATGGGCACTTCAGTAGTGGCCTCACTGCACATCAGCTGCCTGGTGTTGGGCAAGCATCCAAGCCTCAGCAAGGTCTAGGGGAGTGAACCCTCCTGTAACTTGTAGGGAGGAAAAATATACAAATTCTACTCTTCATGACAGCCTGGGATTTGCCCTTGTTGACTCTATTAGGTGGAAAAATAAGACTGCTTATATGAAGATAAAAAAGATATAAAGCTATTAGGGAGTGTCCAAAGGAGACCTACAAAGATGGTGGAGGGCCTAGAGGTGAACCCATACAAGGAGTGGCTGAGGTCACTTGCTTGTTCAGCCTGGAGAAGAGGAGTCTAAGGGGAGACCTCATTGCTGTATACAACTTCCTCACAAGAGGAAGCAGAGGGTCAGGCACTGATCTCTGCTTTCTGGTGACCAGTGATAGGATTCAAGGGAACAGCATGAAGTCGTGTGCGGGGAGGGTTAGGTTAAGATATTAGGGAAATGTTTTTCATGCAGAGGTGTTTGGGCACTGAACAGTTCCCCAGGGCAGTGGTCACAGCCCCAAGCCTGACAGAGCTCAGAGAGTGTTTGGACAATGCTCTCAGGCACAGGGTGGATTGTTGGGGTGTCCTGTGCAGGGCTAGGAGTTGGACTGAATTTGTGGGTGTCCCAGTATAGTCAGTTACATGTCAACAAAGTTCTATTCTATGAAAACTATGAAAAAGGAAGAATTCAGGGGAACCTGTTAATGAGATCTGTTGAAGTTTTGGTGTGCTATGAAAGCACTTAAAAGCACTTGGGAGCACTTAATGGGAGAAAACACGGGATGGTTTGTGGAAACCAGAGGTGTTATACTGCTTGGTACAAACACCAGGCCTTGCTCAGCAAACAGCACCAAAAAAGCAAGCAAGCCCTCCACATGCCATATGATGGAATGAGAAATAGAGATATATTAAGCTACCACCAGATTTCCTGTTGTAGGAGTTGGATTTGCCTAAGAAGTAATTATTAAGAAAGCAGTGTTGACAGCCGTGTTCAGATGGGGACATATGACCCTGCTGGAAGAGGCACAGCAGGGATGGGTTCCCAGCCCTGTTCCAGCCCTCCTGGGTCACTGGAAATGGGTTACTCTGAGTCTGTGTCCTCCTCCTGCAGTAATTAAATATGCTTTCCCAATGGAGTGCTTTGAAAGTCAGCAGCTGATAGGAAAATTCCACGTGTAGACCAACTATATCAGCACATCTTCTGTTTCTCTGGAGAAAATCTACTTCAGGCAGTGCCTCAGAATTGCTCTATTGCAGTGAGGCTAGGAATAATCCATGCATTCAGAATTAGATGCCACTGCTTGTGTGCCCCAGTGCCAAGAAAAGCTAGTGTGACTCACAGGATATGGAAAAGACCAGGGGAAGGTTGGGATTTCAAAATGCAGCCATGAGGCTGCTGTGATGAATCCCTCTACCAGCACATTCCTCTCTCGCTGTCTCAATTTACACAGCTCTGGGAGCAGCTGCCCTCTCTGGATCCAGTCACAAAGGCCACTGATCAAACAGAAAATTCCCAATATTTTTTAGCTCAGAAAGTCTTCCAGAAATGTTTTGAAGTGGAAAATTCAGCTCCTGCAGAATTGAAAATTTCCATGGTAAAATTTCCATTTTTTCAGGGAAAAAGTTATCTTCTCTAACCTTTTTCAAAAAACTCCATTCTAGGATGTAACGAATCCTCAGGGCCAAGCTTGAAGATAGGAGACTTGAGGTCCCTTTCTTATTAGTAACCTTGTTGGTGAGTTTTAGTGAGATGAGGTTTTCAGACTCTATCTGAGTGTGTCCAGGCAGCCCAGGTTCCCCCAACTTGTCAGGTTTGCATGCTCCCAGCTGCAGAACACACACTGACTTGTTTCTTGCCAGGAAAAAGGTCCTAAAGAGCCGACAAAACTTTTTAGCTTTTCCTTTCAAAATATTTTCTCTAAATCTACATTTTCTCTAAATTCCAATGTAGAATTTTCAATCTCAGATTGTGCCATGGAAGGGGCAGCGCTGTTTCTGCCCACCTGTATGAGTAAGGAAGCTAAAATAGTTCTGTAACTTTCAGGTACAAGACCTGGAACATGTTCTGGAGGATATTACTGAGAACGAGAGCAAAGCACAGACTCTGTGCAGCTGGCTGGGAGCTCAGAGTGAGCGGCTGAGAGCCTTACAGACCCCAGCAAGTCTGATCTCTGCGCAGAACACATTAGAGGATTGCAAGGTAAAGCATTACATGAGTGATGTTGTTGTAAAAACCATATTTAGCACTTTGCTGAATCCAGAGTAAAGAAGTGCCCAGATTTGAACAGAGAAAACCTAAAGGAAGTTGCCACGTCCACTTTGCATGTGAATTGCTATTCTCAGGTTTTTTTCCCCAATTGAAGATGCACCTGCTGTTGCTCCATGGTATTTGGAGTCTGGTGCAGCAATATTTTAGATCGTATTCGGAGATGCCTCCAAAAGAAGTAGTTCTCATTTCAGCACAGCTGTGGCAAAGGCTCTTGGTTCCATTAGTTTGAAGAGCTCTGGGGCAGAAGTGTCATGGAAACTACACAGTCCCATCTGGAAAAATAGCAGCTCTCTCTGTTTCTGCCTTAGATTGTAGTCTCTCTGCACCAGCTGCAAGAATCTGTGTGTCCTTTGGTCTTCTTGTGGTTTTTCTAGGCATTGGATCCCTCAAAATTAATACAGGTGCAGCCAGCTAATAATTGGTTCTTGTTACTCCGACACTGCTGTTTTTAACAGGGGATGTTTGTTCGTTCATTGCCATGGTTACGTGTCTCTCTCCTGTAGTAGGCTGCTTTTATTGTCTGGAGTGCTGCTACACTCCGAGTTACTCGTGTCAGAGTGGAAGGAAGAGACAGCGGATATTTGACTCACAGCAATGGGCAGTGCTAGGATGCAGAAGGCTAAAATGTTGCATTAAAATTAATTTGCTCAATTAAAATGAGGCCTAAATTCTAAAACGGTTTGAGGAGAGTCGGTGAGGAGGGAAAAAGGTCACTACTCTAAGTGTAGCATTACAGGACAATGTTACGGCCCATCCTGTGTCTGGGTAGTTCCTCATGTTGTGAAGACCTTACTGCTGAGCTTTCCCCAGCATGTCAAGACTAGCTGATGATCTTGCTGGCTGTGTTGGGTGAGGAGTTATTCTCCCAGGCATCTCCTCCGATTTCGCTGGGGTTTCTCCCATGGGAGAAAGCCTCTGCCGAAGAGGACAAGCTGAAAATAACTTCCTAGAAGTTGTTAGTATGTCAGAAACTCTCATACTGCAAAAACAGCTATCTTACCTTTGCTGGAGTGGAGGGGGGTCCAAATGCTAACCTGCCCATGGGAAATTTCAGCTGCATTAATAGAAAAACTCCTTGCCCCTGGAGAGCACAGAGAGTCCTGCATGGAGCTGAGGAATCGGCCCCTGATGCTTTTCTTCTCCGGCGTGATGTGCAGTGCTCAGGCTGGCACTAAATGGACTGACTCCAGTCCTGCCTGCAGGAGCCTGTCTGAGGCTGCCACTGTCCTTCTGAATTCCTGCAATGCAGCTGTGTATCAGACTTGAAATAGTGGTGGTGTTGCATGGAAGGAGATGTACACAAAATGGGTTTTAAAGAAGGAATGTTTACTAAGCTCCTCATACAGATCTTTATTTTTCCTTGTCTCAATGAAAGATCTTATTTATCTCCCTTTTTTGTTGTTGTTTTCCAATTAGGAACTAGAAAATCAACTCATGACTAAATCCGAAACTCTTGGTGAGCTCAGACAGAGTTTGGCTGTAAATGATAGTACAGAACAAACCCCAGAAGCTCAGTCTCTTGGGATTGCTGAGCTGTGTGAAATGATGGACAGCACTGTAAGCCAGGTAAGAGCTTTGGTTTGTGTTGAGGTTTCCTCCACTACATGTTCTGACCACTGTGTTATTAATCTCCACGGGATGGCAGATGCTAATACAAACAAGATGCCAAGAATTCCTTACTCTTAACCTTCCTAAGAGCTTCCTTTTAAGTCTTTACCATAATGTAAATTGATGTATTTATGAAGTTGAGAGAGAAAAATTAGTCTGCTCTTGTAGGAGTTTCAATACAGAGGGAGAAAGGACAGAGCTCAATCTGCAGTTTAAGAAAATAAAGGAATAGCACTGCTATTTTTACGTCAAGCTGAAAATGGAAAGCTTAAACTCTCTTACTTGACCTGCTTCTCTCCCTCCCCCGTGGTATGCGGATGGAAGCTGCGCTGTTCTCACAGCAGCTTTTCCACCTCCCAAATGCTTTTTCATCCACACACCTGGATGGTTTTTGCCATCTTACAACCCTTTGTAATCTCCAGTTGCTTCAAGGAGAGTCTGGCAGATTGGTTTCCCATGCAAATTGACTCCCCAGCAATTTATTTTTATAGTTATATTATCGTTATACTTGGAAATGATCTTTTTTCTGTGTATGTAATTGATAAGTGCAGGCTAATGAAGAGTATACATATAGATTTAAATTTGTGATAATAAATAACCAGATACTGTAGAGGATTATACATGATGCAATGATTGTGTTCATTGTTAAGAGTCCTTTGTACTTTCTGTTAGAAGTGCCTTGCCCTTACTTGTCAAAACTTTGTGAAACCTGAGTCCTTCCACATGAGGTCTCCATCCAGCATCCATGGATGCTGATTCTTGGTTTAGGTTTCAAAGACATGATGTCTCTGTGTCTTACCAAGAAAGCAGAGAAATGTATGTATGTACATGATCAGAGTTTTTCCTTCTGCTCTATAGCTGGGAATAGAAGTTGGCAGGATTGACAGCTTTTTTTCCTCTTACAGTCACCATGGGTCATGTTAATTTTAGTAATTTCATGACTTCACTCTTGAACTTGTAAACTGCAGAATGTTCTTACAGCCGAGTTGTCTGCGTGTGCCATGAAGCAGTGAGTGCAGGTTCCTTCCCACGAGTGGCTGCTCAGCAGAGCCAGGATGTGATTTCAAACACAGGGCTAGGGAGATGTGGTACCTTGATTATGTTGTCCGTGGGTTGAGCTCAAGACTGTGAGTCTGTGGCCCAGAGACGTTTCCCGAGAATGATGTCTTTCCATCTTCCTTGTGTGGGCAGTAAGTAGCTACAGGCTACAAAAAGCAATTAGAGATTCCTCCCACCTACACCATGATTCAAAAGAGAATAGGGATGATTAATCCATCAGCCTGTGCATGCCCGAAACCAGGATAAAATGTTCTGTGCAGTCTGTTTAGGGTGCACTCTGGCCCTCCCAGGTCCTCTGCAGACAAGCTTGTACCCTTGCTGGTTTTCTGGCTCTTCTCAAAGCATCTGGTCCTGTTATGACTGAAAATAGGTACTGAACCAGATGAATACTTTGTCTGTCCTGGGACATGCCTTATGTACTTCCCTAACACAGAGGAGTAAAAATGATGACTTAAACTGAAGGAGGACTGTGGTTTTGTGATGGCAATGTCCAGGAGGATGTGGCAAATGGAAGCCATGCTTGCTCCCGTATAGATTAGACAATTGTAACAATAAAAGTGACACAGAACACAGAGAGGATATTCATCATTTAGATTTAAATGAGAATCGTGAAGTTGCTAGCCTGGGATTCAGGTGGGCACAAGAGGGATTGCAGCTTTCTAGAGCACTGTAGTAGTGTCTTCTTCCATACAAAACAATTTCTGTTCAAATTGCCTTTAAAAGGAAACTTGATCTCTGGATCGAACTGTCAGCTTCCTAAGAAAATTAAGGTTCTCAACTTCCTCCCACTTCAGGTTGATTTTGGCAGGGGGGAATAAGCAGTTCATTATTTCAGTAATTTTTGGGGTGTTGTGGCTGACAGAATAGTGCTACCTTGAACCCTGGTTAAATGTTAATATCCAGCAAATTCTCATACTTCACTCTAAATATGGTTTACTGCTTTGTTTGAAGCCTGAACAATTCCTTACCAAATAGTAAAATAGTCCAACATGTGAAATTCTTGTGGATTGTCATGGATTGAGCATTGAGTTAAGATTTTAATTTAATTTAAAGGTGATTTATGTCAGGACTACCCAAGAAACAGTAATAGAGTGGTTTGTTTGCAGGTTGCGCAGCTGAAGGCCTCAATGCAGTCAATACTGGAGCAGTGGAGAGCATATGATGAAATTTATGCAGAAGTCAGTCTGATGACAACAAGATATTTGTACTGCATAGAGCAGTGCAAACCTTCTGGGGAAGAAGTTTCATTGGAAGCTTTGAAAAGACAGGTCAAAACTCTCCAGGTAAATCTACTGAAGTTGTCTTATTTCTGTACTTCCTTCTGTGCCTTTAGCAAATATTGGTCAAAAGGAAATTTACCCCTTTACTTGTGCTTCCCAGGGTAGTGCTCTGCCCTAAGGCTGTAGCCTAACCTGAGGCTGTGCCTGTGCTTCGATGCTGGGACTCAGTGCAGAAACAAGGGGAACCGAGCAGAAAATTGGGGTCTCCAGAGCTGTGATTTGAACGCTTGGGATACCATGTCCCAGCCACTGTGCCACTGACCCCTGGCACATTTTGCATGAAAGCATCTTTCCACATATAAACAGCACTGGAGTCAAGGCCTAGGGCCCAGGATTCCCCTTCCCAAAGGCTGTGGCTTGGGCTGGGTGGATGCAGGAGCCCTGGGGCAGAGCAGGGGCATTCTGAGCCTGCCATTTCTGATTGCTGCAGTGTGCTCATCCTTCGGGGAGCTGGAGTTTCTGTGCAGCTCCTGAACGAGGCTGGGCATCAGTGCTCTGGATCATCCTGCTGCTCTGCTTGGCTGTTACAGAGGCTACGTGGAGTTCGAGAGTAGGCAGTCAGGCTGGCCCCGGCTGTGAACATTTTACAGCTGTGGGTAAACCCCCTTGCCTTGCTTTGAGTGAGTGTTGAAAGGCTGTACAAACACTCTCTGTTTCCTTGTAAATAAGGCCTGATTTGGCTTATTTTCAAGTTATATCAAAAGTGGTGCAGGAGAGACGGAGGCTGTGAATGCCAGGTATGAGCTCTTGGCAGTAAAGCCTGTGTATTTTCCATCCTCACCTGAGGTCATGTAATAAATGGAAGGAACTGGGCACTCCCTTACCTCCTTCCTTCCACCACCCTCTTTATTTTTAACCTGTATCAGTTCACAGATATGATCCATGGCAGGGTGCTGCAATTGCCTATATCAGGAGGGGGAACACACAGCTGAGGACAAGAGGTGTCAAGTGAACTTTATTGCCAGTAGAAATTTCCCTGAAACAGGCACTTAAAATAAAAACATTCTGGTTTCCAGTGAATTAATTTATTCACTTCAAGGGTATGAGTTTGTTAAATGAGCTCTTTAACAGCCAATAAATTATATAGGTCTCTTGAACGTTTTTTTGACTTGGACTATTTCACCTCTCTTAGCTTCCTAATTTTTAGGATCAGGTGTTACATTTTTCATAAACATTTTAATCTGTGCTGAAAATGTGTGGCATTATTGCTGCCCTATCCCTGCTAATCTGTAGGGTAAGCTATGCTAAGGTCATTTATAGCCGCAACTAATTGCAGTCATCCATTCTGCAGTGTCTCCAAGATGAGTCGGAGAGCGGTGAAGAAAGTTGGGCCAAGCTCCAGGCTGCTGCCAGTAGCCTGAAGAAGAGCTGCTCCACCTCCTTCGCGAAGATTATTGACCAGAAGTGCATGGAGGCACACACGAGGTAAGCTTGCAAAAGAAGACCCCAATTATTAGTATTTAAAAGCAAAATGTTACTGAGGCAGGACTTGAATGTCTGTCAGATTTTTAAATCCATATTAATGCAACTCACATGTCTAAGGATACCTGTGTAAGGAGTAGAATCCCAGAATGGATTGGGCTGGAAGGGACCCTAAAGATCTCTTTAGGTGGGCAGGGACACCTTCTGCTAGAGCAGGTTGCTCATAGCCCCATCCAGCCTGGCCTGGAACACTCCCAGGGATAGGGAACTGATCCCTTTTATGTGACGGGTCACATAGCACCAACTGTGCTGTATCATCAGGTTTTCAGTAACATGGGTTGAATGCAAAGAAACTCCCACAGGAATCCTATGTCAAGTTGGTCTGGAGGAGAACGTACTAGGAAAATGCTCTTATGCTGGGATCTGTTGGCAGGTGGAACTCTGTAAGTGAAGACGTCAGCGATCAGCTGCAGGTAGCGCAGGCGACCCTGCAGCTTTGGGAGCCCTTCGACACCTTATGCACTGAGACTGCAGCCAAGCTGCAACAGTACAGCGAGCAGTGCACTCAGCTCTTGGGTGCTCACGTGCCTGAAGGTGACCTGATAGGCAGCCTGGAGCAGAGGATACAGGATATGAAGGTACGTGGATATGTTTCTTCTGCCTGGTACAAAGCAAGGTTAATTTTGAGAAGCAGATCTAAAGAACACCTCACCTCTTCCCCCAAATCCAGTCACTGGAAAATACAACATCTGTGGGGTTTTTCCATTAACAGGCACCTTTATATTTCCTTTAAATATTTTGACCAGATCCTGACACCAAGCCTGTTAGCATATGTTGGGAAGAGAGCAGATAGGGGTAACCATATTTTTTCTCTGCCCCTTTCTGCTCTGTACAAAGCGTCAGGCCAGTGTTGGAAGGAATTATTAAGCGAATAATTATTAATGTTATGGGGCATTGCTTGGGAGGAGAGATAATATCTACTAGAACAATAGTTGGGGAAAAAAGACCAGCTTTCCAGAGAACAGGACTGTCTTGAGGTCTTCTGCAGTCTTCGAATTGGTTTTAATTGGGTTTGTTACTGTGCTTTGGCCTGGTCTGATGAGTGCATAGATTTCTGAGCTCATTAGATTATTCTAAATGCTTTTGGCTTTAGGCAAATGTCTTCTCATGCTGAGACCGCAGGATCCATTGGACTCTCTCAGACAGCAAAGCTGTCATTAGGTTTTGACATTTTTGGTTTCTTCATACTACAATAAAGAAATATAATAATCCTTATTTCAGGACAGAGCAGAGATTCATCATCCTTTATGAGTCTCTAGCCTTGTACTGGAAGAAGTCCAAAGTACTCCATTTTGCATGGGGCTAAATAAGAAACTTTATGGGAAAGAGAACTCATGTATTTCTTCGTATGTTAGAAACAACTGACAGCAGCCAAGCTCAGACCGAAACATTTTCACTTTCTTCTGATCTGTTAATGGCTGTGACACCATATGTCAGCAATAGGCATGTGACACCATTATGTCACCAATATGTCAGCAAAAGGCATCTCATTTTCTGGAAATTTCTGGGCAGAACTTTGCACCTACTAAGCAAGACATGACCACTTGAATGTCATTAGCAGTGTAGATCCTGCCCTGGTGTGTGTGTGTGGGACACATGGAATTTATTATGCTTTTCTGGTGAGTTAGAAGAATGGGGATCAGTGATACAGCAGGTGAGTTACCTGTCTTTGAAAATACACACACTTTACAAAATTGTGTTTTGATCCCTCCAGTCTTTTCCTCTATCATCTGTTAGGAAAGATCATGCTTTTATGGAATTTTGTCACCACGATAAATGAAAATAATGTCCTATGTAGAGAGTAAGAAATCAAGTTGTGTCATTTACAAAACAGCTGAAGTGGCAGCTTACAGTATGACCCTTTGTCAGAGAAACGACAATATACAGTGGCAAATTCCAGGCATTTTCATAGCTAAAACTACATTTCAGTTGTCTGGGTCAAAAAAAATAATCCAGTATATTGAATGAGTCTAAAATTACTCCCTCTGTTCCTGTATTGCCTGTAGAGTTTAATTTTATAGCATTATTTCTGTAGTAAATGGGTACAAATAAAACCAAACCCATAGTCCTCAGTCACTTAAGGGATCCAAAGTATTGGTCTGTTTGTAACTTAATGGCATTTCTCATCTGCAGCATTGGCCAGTTCCTCCATCTGCGAGTGAACATCCTTTGTGCAGAGAGGGATATTCTGATTTCCCTCTCTAACTCTGGAGCAGGAGTGTCCTGCTGCCTGAAGTCACACAGCTCAACTTTGAGCTGTGCCTTTCCCAGGACTAGACTCAATGGGTGCAATTCTCATTATCCTCTGAGTAAAAGACTGAAGCTTCCACCATAGCTGCATTTGGCTCCCAGAGGAGATCAACAAAGAGTTTAGTTACAGCAAGGAAAGACACTAAATGAAAGTGGCACGTGGATGAGGATCTGATGGATTCACTGGCGTTTTTCTCTCTGCCCTCTCTCCCCAGAGCGTGCAGCAGGGGCTCCAGAGCCTGGCAGGATGCCGTGCCCAGCTACGGTGGTGCCGGACCAGCGGCCCCAGCCACGCTCGCTCGGAGGCTGCAGCCGCTCCAGGGAGCAGCCTATTTGGACAAGATGCTGCAGAGGAAGTTGGATGAACTTCAGGCAATTATTGTTTTTAATATGATATTAGCTGTCAGTGTGAGGTAACTTCTTCACTGGAGCTCTGTGTGTGCTGCATTACTCATTAGAGCCCTGTGGTTCTTGAATTGAAATGTCAGTAAAATAAAACTTGACAGCATGACCAGCTGTGTAAATAGCATGAAGCCAGAGGGACAGGCAAGGGATGGATTTCACCCTTACCTGCTTGTGTCGCTCTAACAAGCCTTTGTATGTGGGCCTATTACACTCAAGCACTGTGGGACCCTCAGATGATTAAAGATTAGGAAACGTGTTTTTATTCTATGAACATTGAAGTAAGTTGTAAACTTGCTCAGCTCAGCCTTGGAGAAACCTAAGGCCTTCACTTTGCTTTGATGGGAGTACATGTAATGAGCCTAAAAGTAAAACAGAAAACTGGCCTTTTTTGTATACTGAATATGTGTAATTAGTGTAAATTTGCAATATTCACCGTAGTTCAATCTTCTACAACTGGAGGATTTCAACAGCTGCCTTGAAACGCTGGAGGGTCATGTCAGGAACTGCACAGATGCCTTTGATAGTCTCTGTCCGGAGGAAGGAACAGACAGCTCAGAATTGCTCATGGTATGTTTGCATTCCCAAGCAGAAAAAGGTACTGCTCAGTTCTTGCCTACTTCAAGATGCTCTTTATGTCCTAAGTATCATAGTCACAGCACTTCCATCGGAGTAACTGTAATTCATCCAAAACACAGGAAGCAATGGTTTAAGTTTAAAAGCCAGATCTGCATTGTAGGCCAAATGCCTGCATGGAGAGGAGAAAAATCACACAGATTTGGGGTTGATGGAAGAGCTCTTTCACCAGCTTTGCTCTGGAGCTACTCTGTTGCCCTCACTGTAGGGTACAGAGCAAATATGCAAGTGCCAGGTCTGGAGTACCTGTTCAGTACTGCTAGAAGAGCAGACCCTGTGTAAGGGAATTGTGACTACGTTCTTTGAAGTTAACACAGAAATGTTGGTGGTTTTGGGGTTAGCATTTGGATTGTATAACATTCAAATATTTCCTGCAGAAGAGAACCAGCTTCTGTGTTTCTCTGAAATGAAAGAAAGGCAGTGCTTTTTTGCAGTTAATTTATTTCTGTACTTCCAGAATCATACACTGGAGCTTGCTGCACTTTCTCCAAGCATAGAGAGATTGAATGAAGCAAGCATTAAGCTGCCACTCAGTGACTTCACCCTGAAGAAAATGCAGAGCCTGACTCGGCAGTGGAGTCAGAAAACAGCAGCTGCTCTGGAACGCTGCAGGTCCGAAATGCAGACAAAAAAATCGCGAAATTAACCATTTCCTTTTCTGTGGGGATAATCAAAACCAAGTTTAAAGCCTGGAAAGTCTTCCAACCTGGACTCAGGGGCTTTCAATTTACTCAGTTACTCAGTGGCTATTTGTATTCCAAGTCACTTGAAGCAAAAATCTGAATGTTCATGGAGAAAGAGGGGAGCAAAGTGCCAAGGGAAACCCACTATGTTTACATTATTAACCACATTGGACTGTTTGCAAACATCTCCAGAAAAACAGCCACCAACACAATGGTTTCTGATCATTCATTCTCTTTTACAGTGTGCTCGAGGGAACTCAAAATGATGAACATAAAATCTTTCAGAAATGTGAAAAACTGATGAAATTCCTAGAAAAAATTAAACAGGCTTTAAAAACAGATATTCCAGGACGATTTGAAGAACTGCAAGAGCAACAGAGAGTATATGAGGTAAAGCTAACTCTCAAAATGGAAGCAGCATCTTGAGTGGTGAAGGCAGGGGGAGATCACTAGAAAATGCTTTGCCTTTGGAAGCTAGATCTGGGCAGAATTTTACAGAGCATTTCACTCTTGAAATTCTTATTGAGAGGAAAACTCTGAAATGTGAATATCCTTTTGGATGGATCCCTTCTTGTAGGGATCAGACCTTCAGGAGTGCATCTTCCAGTGTCGTGTCATGGAAAGCCCAGAATTCTCCAGCCTGGGGTGTACTTGTCTGTCTGCCTGTCCTAGAGTCCTGAAGCCTGTGACAGCTAGCTAGGCAGTTTGCTGGACATCTGGCAGGAGCCTTACCAGTTTCTGGAAGAGCTGCATTTAAAACAAAGTGTTTTCATGGCATATTTCCCTTGTGACCAGTTGTTAGACTTTAGTGGAAATCTGTTTCACTGGCATTTTCCCAAACACTTGCTATTTGTTATGGAGAGACAGTGCTCACACGTGTATGATAGCATCTGTTCAGAGGGATGCTAGCAATGGAAAAATAACCAAAACACAGAAAAGAAAAATGATTTGGGAAATGCTAAGCATCCTGAGCCATTAGTGTGGGCCACAGTTTAACACTGCCCAAAGTGCTGTGGCTGATTCCATGAGGTGTTATGTCTCTGCATGTTAGTGATATTCATTAGAGTCCACAGAAAGTTATTTTCTCTTTCACTTAGAACTCTCAAAATCAATTCATTCATTGCAATGAAATCATTTATAGAATGAACTTTTGCTCGCTGTGATAAAGAGTAAATTCACTCTCATATGTAGCCTTTTTATATCTTTTCTATGGCTTCTGTCTGGATTGCATTTCTCACCAACGAATCCAGCAAACTTTAGGCTTCAGATTACCTGTATCATATGGCTCCAGGTGGGTTCTGCTATCACATATGTGCAAATTCCTCCTGTTAGGGTGCATTTGACACTAGCACTTGAAAATACTTGAGGTTTCAGCATTTATACCAAAATAAATGCTGTCACTCTAGAGGGGAAGAAGCAGCTTTCATTGCAAAGGTTGTTCAGCGAATACTTAAAACTGTTGTTCTCGTGGTACTTTCAGATGCTGCAAACTGAGGTTTCCATCAATCAGCAGACGTTTAATTCTATCATAGAGAAAGTTCTGTTCTCCTTGGAATCAGGAGAAGCAGAGAAAAGGTAATCTGATTTTTTTTCTCTCTAAGATCCTGGTAATTCAGTGAATATGCACTCTTGAATCTGTGCTCTCATGAAGACATAAATCCAAATTTTAACTGGGATCACTCTTTAAATAACCTGCTGACATATGTTGCAGAAGTGTGAGGCAGTGCAATGAGAACGAAGCACACGTGCCCAGGCCAGGCTGCATTTTGCATGTTCTGCCTAACAAAAATAATTGCACCTCAACAGGAGGTTTCCTTGTCTGCTGCTGCCCTGCAGTTGTTGAAACCCAGTGGTTGAGAAGCTGCCTTCTTACGGAGGGTGATGAGGATGCTGCATGTGAAGGATCCTTTCCCTCCGCCTAGACCTCCCTACTTTTCCAAGTGCAGAGGTGTGGACTAGCCACATTGCCCTGGCACACAGATCAGGGCAGTGGGTCATTGGCCACAAAACCCAGAATATCTCGTAGCTAAACCTGTTTTTTATCAGTATGATCTTATACTTTTCTCTTAAACAATGCAGTGTGAGAAGCAGCAAGTCATATTTGTGAGCAGAGGTTCAGCTGCCTCGGGTGTTTGCTGTGAACACATTCCCCTCTGTGAGAGCCTGGTGCAGAGTTGGCAGGACAGTGTGCTCCCCTCAGCCACCTTAGTATGAAGTCCATAGCTCGGCTTAAAGCCGCCAGGGAGGGCAGGGCTGAACCAAGCAAAGCTGCTGGGTTCTTGTGTTGGAGCTAGCCCCACAAAGACAGGTTTGTTTTAGAGCTAATCAGGGGCCATGGCCTGCTGCAGAGGGGCAGAATTCATGGGGTTGTTTCAATCAGCCAGGTAGATCTGCTGGATCATCTAACCATGTCGTAGAAGAGGGCCAAAAACCTGCTTGAATGGGTTCAGTAACAACACAGTTTGCAACTGTGCAGATCAATTTTGCAGCATAATCAGTGACCTTGTCTCACTTGCATTGACCTTCTTGTTCCTCAGGGAAGTGTTTAGTACATATGGTGTCTGTGATTGCTGTACTATGTATGTTGCTGTACCACAATTGCAAGAGTGATTGGCCTTGTCCTTTCTTGTATCACATATAAGGTTTTCTGGGTTGCTTAAAAGAGTGAATACAGAGAGCAGGGCTGAGCTTAGGGCTGCATCAGGCTTTTTACATTGCTGGCTGTTCTAGTTGGAAAAACATGTTGCACATCAAGTCCATCACAATTGCTGTAAAATGGGGCCTTAAGGCCAAAATACATTAACACTCAACACTTGTAATTTTCAGGACAGAGTTTATTTCCAAACTCACCTTGCTGAAAGAGCAATGGCAGAATGTTACCTGGAAGGGTCAAAGATATCGATGGACTCGTGAGCCAGTGGCAGCTCTTCAGGACTTCTCTGCAAAGCCTCAGCAGGTTTCTTGATGATACAAACAGCTTCCTTGCAGCTGTGAAGAGTCAGGACTGTTACAGCCTTTACCAGCTTAGGAATGTAATTCACGATTTCAAGGTACTGTATTTATTTCTCATAAATCTGAAATCTGTGGGTTTTTTCCCTCAGACTGAAACATTTTTTGTCCAGTAAAGTAGAAAGCTTTAAAATCATGTGGGTTTTGGGGGAAAAATAACTGCTGACACATTCTTTTAAAGCTGAGCACAGATGAGAAAACAGTGACAACGTGAAAGGCTCATTGTACTAGGAAACTTCTTGGTCAACATTGTCATTTAGTAGTCTTGTATGCTGTAAAACTCTTACTCATAGGAACATGAAAGTGCAGGGTGCCAAAAGATTAGAGAGAAAACCTGGTTAGAGGGCAACCTCTAGGTCTGTGTGCATCTTGCTGACAAGACTGCTGAATTCAGGCCTCTTAGTTCTCCTGAATGAAGCAGGTACATGTGTGACAAGACAGGCCATACAGGTCCTGTGTGTGCAGGGATGGGCAGGAGATGCCAGGAGCAGAGGATATGGATATAAAGCACTTCGCAAGGGTATGTGTCCTTGGAACCATCACTCTGGGATGCACAGGCCTGGGCAGGAGTTCTGCATTTTACATACAGTGGAAGAAATATGTTCCTTTGTTGTTATGTTTTATAGGAAAGGAAAAGCAAACAGTGAATTTGATAGTTGCTTAAGACAATCTGAAACTTTTCAAAAGCATATTACTGAATGCCATTTGCACAGTCCAAGATGTATATTGTGTACCCATTTGGTGCTTGCCATGTTCATTTCACCTTTTTTTTTATCTGCTGTGTAAAGAATATCAGCAGTAGATTTTACATGGTAGTGCTCAGGCTTTTCCTTAGTGAGAAAAGCCAGAAAGTCTTCTCCCTCCTACACCAAATTGCCCTTTCCCTCCTGCTGCTGTTCTACAGAAAGGAACAATGATCATATCTGCTTGTGTTACAGACCAATTTGTTATAGGCAGATTATTATTGATGACTTACTTTACTTAGAGTATGTCATGATTAACATCTGTTACATTTGTTATAGGCAGATTATTATTGATGGCTTACTTTACTTAGACTATGTCATGATTAACATCTGTTATCTCTGAAAAAAATTGTCTAAGTTGTTGATGCTAGAGGTGCTAACAGAACTTCCACTGGGTTTATTTCTGAGTAACTCATACAACTGAATTTCCATCTCTTTGTGATTGCTGCACTTTCAGTCTGTGAAGAGCTATTGTAGTTTTATAAATCAAAAGGTCAGAGAGCATATGATTATTCTGAAATTAAAAAAAAGCAGATAGGTGAAGATATGTTCATTGCTCTTTCATGAATATGAGGAAACTAGTGCCTCGAAACTCTGTGAGTCATCTTCCCAAGTGAAATACAAGGAGTGCACTTCTATAACTTGCTGAGGACAGCTTAGAAACTTGTTTTTCTTTTAAAGAGCAAGACAGCGATTCTTCAGAGGTGGCAGTCCATGTACACCCTGGTCATCGACATTGGGGAGAAGTTGCGCTCTGTCTCCGATCCAGAGACCAGCTCTGCTCTCCAGGAGGAGCTCAGCCAGTTACAGCAGAGTTGGGGCAAAACCCAGGCCCTGCAGGAGAAGAAGAAGATGCAGTTCAGCGGCACCCTACAGGTAGATGATGCCCTCCCCACCTGCTTCTCTGGTGCTGGGTATCAAGAGCTTCCCTGTCCCACCATCTCCAGTGTTGAGCTCTGCAGCTACAAGGCACATGCTGAGCTGCTGCTGGCTGCAGAGGGGCTCTGAGGGAAGTGCCTGTCATCATCTCATCAGGGCTTGTGGGTAGCTAAAGCTGTGGTCCCCTGATTCTGCATAGGAAGTTGGGTTGGCATCCATTTGTTGCTACAAGGAACGTTCCTGCTCTCATTCTTCTCATGCTCCCCATGGCCTGGAGCTCACTCCTGCTTTGGACTGTGAAGCCTGAGCTAAAATACAGCTTACAGAGAGTTAACTTGTTGTTCCTTATGTGGTTGAACCTCTGAACAGATGGGTCAGTCATATTTATTTCCTTAGAGCAATGAATTTGCTTTCACAGCTAGACAGCACATGGGTATGTGTTAAAAATGAATACTGTCATTGATGCAATTCCCCAGTCCAAAAACTATGCTTAACCCTCTTGGGTTGCACAAAACAAAATGAGCATAAATGTTCTGTAAGGCAAACCTTAAACACCAGAGGCTCCAAACACCAAGTCATGGTCTCATAGTCTGTGCAGTGCAATCCTCGTGAGTGGTACTATGTATCCAGAAAGGTCAGTCAGAAAACCAGAGCACCTGATTAATTACCTCCGTGGGTTGAAGATGCTATTTTGTAACAGACCCATGTGATTCACTATGTCATGATACAGTACCCTCACCTTTTATACATCCTCGGTCTCCTTGAGCAGACTTGTGACCGCTTTGAAAAGCAAACCAAGGAACTGGAAAGCAGACTGCGAGAGCTAAAGGAGAAAGTGAAAGATCCACTCCCTGTTGAACATGAAGAGCTCTACAAAGCCAAGGAACATATTAAGGTATCAACAGCCATGTTGTATTTAAATAGATGTAGTCTTTGCACACCTGATTCCTGTAAAATCAGTTTTCCCTCTTACCTGCTCTTCAGTAACACTGAATCTCTTTCCTTCACACCATGCCGATGCTGCCCATCTGCGAAGTCCAGCTAACCAAGAAGATTACAAGGAGGAGTAGTAGTGTTCAGATTTTTTTTCCTGCTTCTGCTCCCTTTACAGTCTGAATTGGTAAAACAAGTAGTTTCTCCAACAAAAGGGATTGTCTTAGCTCAGTTGGCTGCTATCCTTATGGCTGAATCTCCCTTTCTGTTTTCCACTCCATTTTGGACAGGGAGCTCCTCAGGCTAGAGACCTTGTACATCTGCAAAGCACCATGCACACCTGCAGGATCTGGGAATAATTATAGAGAAGGAAAATTAAGAGTAAGGGAGTGGCAAAATCCCTTGCAGCCCATAGTGCACCATGAAAATTAAATGGCAAGAAAGGCATTTCCAAGGAATAGGAGACATTTTGTCTGGGCTGGTCAGTCATTCATCATCCTTTTATGAAGTGAATTATTGACCTATGTAGTGGGAACAAATAAGCTTATTAACCAACTAAGGTTTTGAACTCATTATCAGCTGTCTGAAATTTTCTCTGTGAGTGCTGGCTGCCTTTCCCACAGCAGCAGCCTTGCTGTAGCCCTGAATTATCTGTGAGATGGCAGCACACAGCTCTTGCCTGATTCCAGTAAGAGAAAATCAGCTGCAGAGGCATCAGGGTCAGATGGTGCAGGTGCAGATGCTGCTCTTATGTGTCACAGTATAATAAAGGACCAAAACAGCACTGGGGAGAAGACCTCTTTTCCTCTCCCTGCTTTTCACTTTCTATGGAAGGAAGCTATTTTTCTCTCAGTACTGGGTCTTACATGAGGATAACATTCCATAGTTAGCTCCATTAATGCAGGCATTTGCCCCTTGTTAGGATGTATAAGTGCATGTGTGCACATCTGTAGGGAGCAATTTGTTGTGAGCTCAGGTAAATTTCAGTCTCAGGTTTGTTTGGTTTTTTCCCTCGAGTGTTGAAGCTGGGTCCAAGGCCTGTGAAAATCCTCACAGGGCTTAGACCCAGCACACTTCTGACACAAACAGTCATGGGCTTTTTTCCCTTTAAAATGAGATACACTGGATACTCTATAAGAGGGGTTTTTTGTGTTAGATGAGCCAGAGACACTTCCCAGCAGCCTCTCTGCAAAGTGAGACCTAGGACCTTGTGTGTAGAGTCTCACGTTTCCCAGCTGCATGCAGCTATGTCTCTGCTTTTTAGGTGACAGTTAAGGAAAATATGGAACGGTATTACAAAGAAACAGGAAAGCTGGGGGAGCAAAGCAGAGAAGAGAGCTTGTTTCTATGAAGGAGCAGTTTAAACACTCTCCATTCCTGACAAATCTGGGGAAGTGCCTGTGAAATCATTCATTAGAGAAGAGAACCAGTTGTGTTTTTAGCATTAAAATAAGTGACCTGAAATTGGAGCAAACGCAGGTGGAAAGCAACTTTCCCAAATAGTTATAACAGAAAAAAGGAAGCACTGAAGAAGTGTTCATGTTTCAGCCTGGTGTGAAACCCAAGCACTGCCCTGGGCTCGGGGGGCTCCGGGGCGTTTGGGGGCCTGCCCTGGGCTCGAGGTGCTGCCCGGGGCTAGGGGCTCGGGGGCTG